TTTGGAGACAGGGTCTCATATGTAGTTGAGATTGACCTGAAACTCACTATGTAGCCCAGGCTGGTCTCAAACTCACAGCAATCCTCCTGCCTCAGCCTCCCGAGTGCTGGGATTACAGGCATGCGCCACCACACCTGGCTAACACCACTACTCTTTATAGCATTGAAACAAGGAAGCTGTGTGCCTTCTAACCTGTGTCTTCCTTTACCTCTTTTACAAGAAAGGAGAGCTTTTAAAAGGAAGAAAATGCCCTATATGTGTTCTTCTCACTGGGAAGAATGCCCAAATACCATACCTCTCTAATAAGAGTCTTCCGAAAGCAGTCAATGGTCCCTGAGTACATGGGAGGCTGTCCAGGCAAACTTGGTGGCTGTGTCTGCAGTCGGACCTAAAGTTAAAAATAAATCACCTTCCAGAGTCAGAAGTATCAAACTAATCAGGGAAATTTGCATCTCTGTACATATATTTAGCATTCCCTTAACCAGGTATATTCAGATCTCTCCCTCTCTCTCTTCTTTCAGTACTAGTGACTGCACTAAGGGGCTCTAACGCTGAGCTATATTCCCTAGCCCCTTTTTTGAGACAGGGTCTCCCTAAGTTGCCCAAACTGGGCTTAAGCTTGCCATCTTCCTTTCTCAGCATCCCACTTAATTCCTTTTTATTGGCAAATAACATCCTATTATATACCACATTTTGTATACCCATTCATCGGTGGGTGGATATTTGCAGGGTTTTGTTTTTTAGGGTGCTAGGGATGGAACTCAGGGCTTTTGCACTGAGTACATCCTCAATCCTTTCTAAAACCTGTTTTGTTTTTTGAGACAGGGTCTCTCTTTGCAGTTCAGGCTGGCCTTGAAGTGACTATATAGGCTAGGCTGGCATCAAACTCCCAGCGATCATCGTGATTCAGCCTCCTGAGTGCGAGGACTATGGGCCTAAAATTTTTAATTTTCTTTTTGGTACTGGGATCAAAATCAGGACCTCACGCTTGCAAGGTAGGCACAGTGTTGATGTGCTAAATCCCCAGCCCTAAAAAAATTTTAATTTTTTTTTTTTTTTTTTTTTTTTTTTTTTGGTACTGGGGATCGAACTCGGGTCTTTGCGCTTGCAAGGCAGGTGGCGGAACCACTGAGCTAAATCCCTGACCCTAAAATTTTTAATTTTGAAATGAGTCTTGCTACATCACTAAGTTGCCCAAGCTGGTCTTGAACTTGTGATCCTTCTGCTGCCACCAGCTCCTGACTGGCTTTTGCAAATTTTTTCCATTTTTCTTTGCTGCTGTTTTACTTGTTTGTTTGGATATGTTTATTTGTTTGTTTGTTCTGAGGCAAGGTCTTGATATGTAGTTCAGGCTGGCCATGTACTCACTATGTAGCCCAAGCAGGCCTCAAACTCACAGCAGGATTAAGGCATATGCCACCAAGCCGAGCAGGTGTGTCACCCCTGAGCTAAATCCCCAGCTTCTTTTTTTTTTTTTTTTTTTTTTTTTTTTTTTTTTTTGTAATTCTCACTATGTTGATCAGGCTGGCTCAAACTCCTAGGCTCAAGTTATCTTCTGTTGCAACCTCCCAAATAGTTGGAATTAAGGGTGCATGCTACCAATGATGCTATACAATTTTATGTACAAATCTTTGTATATATACATGGTATTGGTCAATGTTCTGTAAAGAAAATGAACCAGGAGGAAATTTTTCAAGAGACTTATTAGAAAAAAATTGGTTTGTGTCAGTATGGAGGCCAAGAAATCCCAAGATCTGCAGTCAGTAAACTAGAGACTTAAGCCAATATTTCAGTTTGAAATAAAGATGGGAAAAGACTGATGTCTTACCTCAAGTAGGCAAATAGAAGCAGTTCCTTCTAACTCTTAGGAGTGTCAGTCTTTTGTTCTATTCAAACCTTCAACTTATTAGACGAGGCCTACCCACATCAGGGAGGGCAATCTGCTTTATTCAGTCCACTAATTGAAATTTTATTTTGCAGTACTGGAGATTGAACCCAGTACCTTTGTACTAAGTTACATTTCCAGACCTTTTATTTTTTTGTTGTTGTTGTTTTTTTGGTGGTACTGGGGATCGAACTCGGGCCTTTGTGCTTGAGGAAGGCGCCGAAACCACTGAGCTAAATCCCTGGCCCCCTTTTAAATTTTTTTAATCTATGTATTTGATTTTTTTTTTTTTGAGAGAGGATCTCTTTATGTAGTTCAAACTGTTCTTGAACTCACTATGTAGCCCAGGTTAGCCTCAAACACACAGTGATCCTCCTGCCTCAGTCTCCCAAGTACGGGACTACAAGGAAGCATCACCACACCAGCTTTCTTTTTTCTTTTTTCTTTTAGAGACAAAGTCTCACTGATTCACAAAGATGCCTAGACAGGTCTCAAACTTGTGATTATCCTGTCTGTTTCCCAGAGTGCCTGGATTACAGGTGTAAGCAGCCAACTAATACTCACAAGCACTCTCACAAGCCAGGTGTGATGGCACACCTCTGTAATCCCACCCCTTTGGGAAGCAAGAGGATCACAAATTCTAATCCAGTCTGGGTAATTTAGGGACTTAGCCTGAAGACTATAAGAATAAATCACATCCTTATAAATTTTCCAGTCTGAGCACAGCATAAACCACCCTTGTAAATCCAGTAGTCTGAAAAGTTGGGACCGTATAATTACAAGTTTAAAGCAGTCTGGTAATTTTGAGACTTAGTGACACCTTGTCTCAATATTTAAATATATATAAATAAAAAGGCTGGACCCAGGCATGGTGATGCACACCTGTGATCCCAACACTCTGGAGGCTGAGGCAGGAGGACTGCTGTGATTTATTTATTTATTTGTTTGTTTGTTTGTTTGTTTGTTTATTTATATTTTGGTTCCTTGAGACAGGGTCTCACTATGTAGTTCAGCCTGGCCTTCAACTATATAGCCCAGGCTGGTCTAGAACTCACAACAGTCCTACTGCCTCAGCCTCCCAATTACTGGAATTAGACTGCTGTGATTTCAAGGTCTGCTGACATAGTGAGTTCAAGGCCAGCATGAATTACATAATGAGACCTTGTCTAAAAAAAAAAAAGCAGAAAATGTACTAAAATATCTGCACCATATTGTCTAGATAGTCCTATTCTAGTCAGAACCCCACTTGTCCTTCAATGCCTGCCCTAACATCATTTTCCATAAAGAAACCCCAACTCTTGCGGTCTTTGCTTATTAAGACAGGTGGGTCACAGCTCAGTTGCCTTAAATCTCTGACAGTATCTCTAGATCAGGCCTTAATTGGAGTTCACCTAGTTCTCTGAGGTCAAAAGAACAGCACTTGGCAATCTATAATTTTGTTTTATACTAAAAACCAACTACCTTTCTGTCAAAACTCCAGCAAGCATTTTTAGTCACTTAAAATTCAGTATAGAGGTCACTGGGCCCCTCGTAGAAATGATATCAAAGACAAAATAAGGAGATAGGAGAAGTAATATCAAGGATAAGATAAGGAGGTAAGAGAAAGCATTTTAAAATATATATTTTGTTTTGTTTTGTTTTGTTTTCTTGAAACCAGGTCTCAATCTGTATAGCTCAGGCTGGCCTCAAACCCACAGCAATCTTCCTGCCTTAGTCTCCCCATTGTTGGGATTACAGGTGAGCACCACCAGGCCTGGCCCAGAAACAGTTTTATGTAAGGCATCAAATAAAGTTTTTTTTAATTTCAACTGCCTATAACTAATAAGATTTTTGCATATATGAACCAAGGATAGGGATAGAGACCAGACAATTGACCCTTAGTATCTAGTTATACTTAGAATGACCCACTGCCTTAGAAGCACTAACAGTATTTTACCATCTGCTGAATAAACATCTGATTTCTTGTTACACAATGCCTTAATCAGCCTAGCTGCTTTAATCCTGATCTTCCCATACCATGACCCAAGTAGGAGCTCTACCTTAGGGGCAGCTTCTCTCTGGAAAAGCATTAAAGAATCTGTTCCTCAGGTCTGCCAAGAAGAGTTCACGAAACCATTTTCCTATGAGGAAAACTGGATCCAATATGCTAGGAGACCTTCACATAGGCTTCCCCCCAAAACTCAGGTCTGTTATCTACAGGCTGACTCTGGCCATGACCTGTCATTTTCCTTTCTGTATACAAAAATACAGTGAGGTTACAAAACTAGGGTGAAGTTGAAAATACAGTCACAGGACATGGACTTTGGTCTACAATAAGGCTGTGCTTAGTGTTCCAGGGCATTGAGGAATGATATGTTTCCAGTAGCCTCAGTATAAACAATAGCTTCTGCACCTGGAAGTTTTGATCAGTCTGACCATGAGTAGAGCTGATCATTTGCTTTCCTTGAAAGAGGCTGAATCACTGAGGACATCATTAGCTTCCTACGGGGCATGCTATGTAGGCTGTCAAGGGGTGACAGGCTGAATGGCCAAGTACTTCATTACATAGGATAATATGCAAGAGATGGCGACGGTGCACTCTGGCCTCGGGGAGTGTGTCAAAGGACATCTCTAGAACGATCCTACATCTCTCTTTAGATGTCTTCCTGGGACAGGCTTTACAGGGGACATATTTCAGCCTTGATGATCAAATGTCAGTGGTGGCTGGAATCAGCTTTAGACAGCCGCTTTTTCTTCCCTATTCCCAAAGTGGCATAGGGTCTCTGTGGGACACAGACCTTTACAAAGGAGCTCTTGATGGGGCTGTTGGCTGCTACTCACCTTGGGTTGTCTGGCTTTTTGGGGCGCAAAGTACAGCTTCCACCCATTTCTGAAGCAGGGATTTTCTAGACTTTCCACAAAAGCACGTATTTTGGGGCCCCATTTCTGTTCAGGAGTCGCTACCTCTCAGGCTTCCTCCCCAGACTCCCGCCCCAGTCTCCCCGCACCTTGACAGTGTCCAGAGGATGCCCCACAAACACCAAGCACACGCCGCCAAAGCCGCCGGCTAGCAGGTTCTTGAGCGGGCTGATAGGCCTTGGCTTGTCTGTCATGGTCAGTCAGGAGTCGTTCTGTCAGTTTTGCTCTGCTGCCCCAAGCTTTAGCGCAGAGCGCCAGACCTTTCACCCACTTTAGGGGGGGGCGGAGCCTGAGCCCGGGGCAGGTCGGGAGTAGGGCCCAGCAAGCTCGCAGGGCTTCCGCCCCGGGCAACTTCCGGCATTCTCCCCGCCCTTGTGGGCGTGGCGCGGGCGGGAGTTGGGAGTGGCCGCAAGTGGGTCGGTTCTTCCCGGAAGTTTTCCTGAATTTAGTTTCCTTCTCTGGGGTCTAGGCTAACTCCACAGAGGTCGCTTTGCATCCTGTTATGTATCAATCCTTAACACTTCCATATTATCACATAAGGAAGAGAACAATTTTTAACTTTAATACATTCTCCTAATACAATTCAATTTTTTTTTTCTGAGACAGGGTCTCACTATATGTTGAGATAGACCTAGGAACTCACTATGTAGCCAAGGCTGTTCTCGAACTCACAGCGATCCTCCTGCCTCAGCCTCCCGAGTGCTGGGATTACAGACATGCGCCACCACGCCTGGCGTACAATTCAATTTTTACCATCTCATTGGGCACACTGTTCTGGGCAGCTGATATTTTTTTTCATAGCAAGACTTTCTCAATGAAACGGTGCTCTAATTACATGAAGTGTTTGCCTAACAGGTGCAAGGCTGTAGGTTCTGTTCTATCTCCAACACCATCACACACACACACACACACACACACACACACAGCCTGGCACAGTAGCACAGCCTGGTACAGTAGCACACCTTATAAACCCAACTGCTAGAAAGGATGTGGCAAGAAGATGGCAAGTTCAGGGCAGCCAGGGAAACTTAGTAAGACTGTCTTAAGTTTTTTTAGTTTTTTGAGAAAGTTTCACTTTGTAGTTCAGGCTGGGATTTCACCCAGTCCTCCTACCAGGCATGGGTCAACACACCTGGCTCAAAATAAAATTTTAAACTGAAATCCAGTGTGCTGGTACAACACCTATAATACCAGCACTTGGAAGGCTAAGGCAGGATGATCGCCATGAGTTTGAGGCCTGGACTATGTAGTGAGTTCAAGGTCAGCCTTAATTATATAGCAAGACACTGTCTCAAAAATTGTGGGAGGGGGCTGGGGATTTAGCTCAGTGGTGCCTCCTTGCAAGCGCAAGGACCCAAGTTTGATCCCCAGTACTCCCAAAAGTTTTTTTAAAACTGGGCATGGTGGTACATCCCTATAATCCCAGCACTCGAGCGGCTAAGGCAGGAGGATCGCTGGGAGTTCGAGACCAATCTGGGCTACATAGTGAGTTTCAAGTCAGTCTCAACTACATAGTGAGACCCTGTCTCAAAAAACAAACAAATAAAAAAGACATACATGCCGGGGATTTAGCTCAGTGATTCCACTGCCTGCCTTGCAAGTACAAGGTCCCGAGTTTGAACCCCAATACCAAAAATAAATAAATAAATAAATAAATATAAAGGTGCTCAGATTCAGGGGCACATGCCTGTAATTCAGCTATTTGAGAGGCTGAGGAAAGAAGACTACAAGTTTGAGGCTAATCTGGGCAATTCAGCAAAACCTCAAAATAAAAAAAAAAATTTAAAAAGATCTAGGGGTGGGGCTGGGCATAGTGGCATATTCCCATAATCCCAGCACTTGAGAAGCTGAGGTAGGAGAATCTTTGTGAGTTCAAGGTCAGCCTAGGTCACATAGTTCAAAACCGGTCTGAAAAAAAAAGAAAAGAAAAAAGAAGATGCAGTACAGCTCAGTGGTAGAGAACCCTTGGGTTTGATACCAGTACTATCAAAAAAGATCAATAGGGGCCAGAGATTTAGCCCAGTGGTGTCACTGCCTGCCTCACAAGCATAAGGACCTGAGTTTGATCCCCAGTACCAAGAAAAAAAAAAAAACAATAAAGGCAAAGATGAGTAAATATATAGGTATCTGCAAAATATGCTATTTGACAGACTAGATTTTCCAAAGATGACTACACCAACATATACCTGATTCCAACATATAGCTCAATTAGGATAAGACTTGATTCTCTACCCTTGAACCTGAAAGGATTATTTGTAACTGCTTTAACCAATAAAGTATGGTAGAAGTAATGCTGTGTGACTTTGAAGGATAGGCCATAAGGGCAATATAGCTTTCATCTGTTTATCTCTCTCTCTCTCTGTCTCTTTCCATTTCAGTACTGGAAATCGAGGGATTCAATCCAAGGCCTTTGCGTTGAACTACATCCACAGATCTTTCTCTCTTCGAGACAGTCTCACTAAGTTGCTTAGGCTGGGCTTAAAATTGTGATCCTCCTGCTTCAGCTTCCCAGAGCCCTGTGATTACAGTTGTGCATCACTGAAACTGCCTCAGCATAATTTTTAAAGCTCTTTTCACTGTATATTTTATCAACATTTAATAGAGACCTGTTTTTGGACATTTAGTTTGCTGTAAATTTTCCCTATTAGAATCAGGGTTCTAAAGTACATATTTCCATTCACATCTTTTGGCTTAATTTTTTGGCATAATTTTTAAACATTAATCTTTTAGGAAGAAACTGTTGCTACTTAAAAATGTTGGAATCAGCTGAACTGTTAACAGTAATACTGAAAACAAGGTTGGATCTGTGTTTCAGAAAATCACCTTTAACAGGGGAAAGACAGAAGATGAATAAAGCTAACTAGTTGGTGGTATTCCATAGTCACGGTTTTCATATCTGACTCAACTAAATGCAGGAAAAAATACTTTATTTTTGGTTTTTTCGGAGACAAGGTCTCACTATGTAGTTTAGGCTGGCCTCGGACTAATAGCAATCCTCCTGTCTCAGCCTCCCCAGTGCTGGGATCGCAGTCATGTGCCCCCATGCCCAGAGCAAAAATATTTCAAAAATTGTGTCTATAGCCAGGCATGTTGGTATACACCTGTAATCTCAGCATTTGGAAAGCTGAAGCAGGAATATCACACATTTGAGGCCAGCTCAAGTTCAACACTGGCTTGCACTACATGGCAAGACCCAGTCTCAAAAACAAAAACAAAAACACCAAAAAACATCACCGACTTCACTCTGGTGCTTCGCAGTACCTTCATCCTTCGTCCTATGTTTTTGGCGACCGATTTTAGAAGATACTGGAAACCCTAATGATAGTTTCTATGCTGTGAGAAGAAAGTGAAAAAGTTAAGATGCAATTTTGTGCGTAAGTGGAGGCTGAAGAACTGGGCAGTGAATGTAGCAGTGGTGGACAAAGTCAAAGCCGGCGGGGTCCACCTAGCATCTCCCTCTGGGGACAGGCGGAATCTTTGGTGCGGCTCCCCTTCGGCAACTGCCGGGAGCCCAAGGTCTTTAATCCGTCCCGTAGACGCCTGGATGTCTTCTAGGTGCCCTACGCCGGAGCGAGGTGCCAGTGAGCAAGGCTTCTGTTAAAAATATATCGGCCGGAGGCGCTGGTAGGCCAAAGCGGGAAAAGATGTTTAGATCATTCCTTCATAAGCCGAGAGCTCTGTTGCCTCCTGCAGCGGCCGGCACCGACATCTCGGCCTGACTCGGTCTGCTACCGAGTAGCTCGGCCGGGAAACCCTACCAGGAACCTGCCGCTATTAGGGCCACCGCAGGGCAACACTAGCCGGAAGTGACGCAGCTTCACAGAGCACTTCCGGAGCTGCGAGGACACCTCCGCTG